GGCGAATGTTTTACATTCGCCACAGGGCAAAACACTGACATTTTGATCCAAGTTGTGGAAGGTGAGCCCTCATCAGAATTGAGTTTCTAAACCACACTGACTCCTGTGTCGCAACATGAAATTTGTTGTCAAACTATTCAAATAAAGCTTTTAGTTTTACATTCAGCCAGTTTAAAACTTTATTTTAATGCGGTGCAGTGGAGTTTTACTTTAATGCACTACATTACTTACTTTTCGAAGATGTACATTTTAAGTACAGTTTGGTTTTCATGAATACATTGGCAAAAAAAAAAATATTCTGTATTTTACTTTTATGAGGAAAATTACATTAATACATTTTAATTCAATCATTTTTTTAAGTAGCCTTTGACTGTTTTCCTACATTTCAGACTAGAGTAATAGCCACATTAGCTTACAATAATAAATACTTTTTAGAAATATCAATCACATCTGACAATTATGAAAGTAGACCAAATTTTACATCTCCTCGAAGCAGGCGTGAGTTGTGGCGCAGGTGGTGACGTGAGATATTGGTGAATTCCAGTGGGATGCCACCAGACAGATTGTGCGCTCCAGGCAAATGTGTTGGATGTCATCGTATTTCATTCATAAAAATAACAACAGCAAACCCTCGGAATCAGAGAAGAAATCAATTCATTGAATATCTTATTACGATCCATCCGTCCATTATCTGAGCAGCTTATCCTCACAAATGGTGCGGGCATGAGCAATGGGGTCTTGTCCCCTCTGTTCTGAAATGCTTCATTGGACTGTAACGTTAATCCGTGTGGACCCTCTTCCCTGTGGTGACCCCTTGACACGCACATGAACACTCCAGCATGTGCGTACGTGCACACACATATGCACACGCATACAAACTCTAGTCTATTTGTGTGTAAATGTGTGTCTTTAAGGTGCGTGGCCGAGTGAATGGGAGGAGCTTGGGGTCATTCGGCTGGGCAGTTTCTCTCATGCTTCCTTTAGTGTTGCGTCTCCTCCGTCGTGCTCATTGTGAGGGGTTTTACATTTTGTATTCATGTGAGTGACTGCTAGTCCTGTTAAAAAGAAAAATGGCTTGATGTACAACGGTGACAATTGCTCTAATTTAGTTTCCACTTCACTCAAAGCAAAAAAAAAAGATCTACCTTGCAGCGGCTCAATATGCGAAAAACTGCGATACTGAGGCACTCATAAGTCAAGGTACCACTGTGTAGTGTTCTGTCTACTACTACTTTCTCGATGTATACTTTAGAATGCAAAACACACACACAGGTTAACGAACATGTCAATCAAACGGTCAACTTCTATTCCAGCACAGTTTTTGTCGAACTGCGACACACCTAAAAGCATAAGATCATCTGCTTGCTGTCTTTCCATCTTACAATGACTTCCTATCAGCAAGGAGAGGTCCTAACCACAATGATATCAGAGATGAGGCAAGAACACTGATTGGCTACTGGCCATCACCCAGGAGGCCACCTTCCCGCCGCAACGCTGACACTCTGTGAGTATGATGGATGAGGATGTATCTCCGTGTGTTCGCGTGCGCACGCGCGTGTGTGTGTGTGTGTGTGTGTGTGTGTGTGTGTGTGTGTGTGTGTGTGTGTGTGTGTGTGTCAAGGGGTCACCAGAGTGAAGAGGGTCCCCACGGATTAGCGTTACAGTCCAATGAACCGTTTCAGAAAGTGGGGGACAAGATTCCATCGACCGGTTGGTTCATTTTACACACACACACACACACACACACACACACACACACAAAGGAAAAGGGAGCAATATGATGACCGCATCTCCGATGAGAGAGGGAGAATGAGACATCCGAACAATGTCTCAGTTCTACACATTAATATGGGTGCATTCCATTTGGGACTAGGTGCTACAGAAAGTAACGGATACGCTCAGCATGCGCAGTATCTCAATGAAGTGCTACGGGGGCATGTCTCTAATCCCAGTGGGTGTATCCATTTAATCAACATAGAAGAGTTCAGGGTTTGTATTTCCACACATCTCCTCAAACATGCTGCCTCTTAAGATCGTGCTCTCTCACTGTATAAAAAGAGTGCTGTATTGTATAACTTCTTGTTAGAGAAATCTATGAGCAAAATTGTATCATGTTTAAAGTTTCATTTAATTTGGGCACATCTAAACGTTTGGGTGCGTATCCAGCACCTCCAAATGCCTGTGCACATAGGCGCCGGCCACCTGGCCGGAGGGCTGTTGAAGTCCACAATTAGCACGTCAATGCAG